GTTCGCCCACGTTAGATAACCCTGGGCCCAAAATTCTGTCTTACGAAACCGGTGGTAATAGAGTGGTTCTTGCTAGGAGGAGCTAACAGGTAGCTAGCATGCAAGAGCGAGCCGCGCTCAAGGCAAGCTATCGATCGGCCTATACGCGAGTGAACCCAAACTTGCAGTCAATCAATCGATAATTTAACATTTAAGGTGCAGCCTGCCGCTGAGTCACAAGCCAATCGTGCCACCAGTCAGTCCAGGACAGAAGCTGATTGGCCCGATGGACATTCGTTCGTTGCCCTAAATTTGTTGTACCTTTCACACTCAAAGACTTCTGTTTTTGCCTAGTTCTTGTCTTGTTCTTCCTCAGGGGCGTAATTAGGCAACGACATCTCGGCTTTGGCTACTGTTACAACAGTTGTATGGGTGGGGAAGGAAGAAAACAGAGCGTAAAAAAGTTGAAAATCATAGGCATATTTATTTAAATTACCCTTATGTTTGGCGTGCGATGATTAAATTGAAAAGCGCAACTAAGAGGAAAGTAGAACTGCGCAAATAGTACCCGCGAGTTGGATGCGATCCTATGTCGACTCTATTTTGACATTTTGAGATTAGAGTAAAACCATGAAAGATTGGCTTTTCCCTCACTTTTTTCAAAACCCATAATAGCTTCTAATGCACTTGAACAGGTAATGTAGTACGATAAGCCGAAAAGCAACAGCATTTTGTTAGGATCTAAGTAGTGGTTGTACTTGGATCAATAAAATCATCAGGCCGAATCCCAGGTTGGAAGTTAAAGGGCAAAAGTCACCAGAAGGAGTGGTTTATTGTGCACAGAACTCCCAATTGCTGTCCCAGGCGGCAGTGTTGACTACGTCCAGTCAGACCTGAGAGAGCCTACGACAGTGATGTCAGCTGCTTAAGTTGGAATGCGGAGCAGGTTCGTGTTCTGTTATTGGTGTGTTGCAATTGCCCGAGGGAATTTTGCCTGCAAAGGCCCCCTGCTGCGTTGGCCAAGGAAGTGGCGTGGTAAGTGGCGCTTGTGAAGGCGTGCTTATTTGGAAGCGCGTGAATGCGCGGGTGTGTGCGTGACTGAATAAGCTGAGGTCAACTTTGGGGGGCCGCCGGAACGCCGAAGGACAGGGGACGCTGGCGCAGCTGTTATTGGTTAGCCAGAAGCAGCTACGAGGTCAAGTCTCGGGGGCGGGGTCGCCAGTGAAAGAAAGCATTGGAACAGTTGTTTGTGACGACGCATAACTTTGGGGCAGCGGGCCTTGGCAAGCGAAGGGGGGAGGGTCCTTGTGGCCGTCGGCCACAATGTCGCAAAAAAATTAAAAACCACACTAAGTATAAAATGGTAGTGCTTTCTTGTAAGGCCGCTTCTATGTGATGTATGATAGAAAAAAACTGCTTCCATATTCCCAGTAGGTCGATTTTCCGCCTATCCAAACACTTCCTTCATTATGTCAACAAATAGGAGTCGTTTTGATATTGTTATTGGTCTACAGCCATCCTTTGCTAACTAATTGGAGTTTATTTTGGCAACTTTTATTCTTTCCGCATTCCTTTCACACATACTTTTAGTTCAGTAATACAATTACGAGCAGTTTTAATTCATTTCCTACTGTACACTTATCACGCATTAAACACTTGTTGATTGTTCCGTAATCAAGAAGTAAACCTTAAACTACGATTTTTGTAAGAAACTTGGGCGGGGGAACTTTGCAATTAGGCGGCTCCACTAAAAGCCTTACCCAAAAAACATTCTAAACTAAAAGTAACCGCAGGATGCTAAAGATTTCCGTGTTGGGGGAGGGGGTATAATGTTGAAATAAATATTCAATGTAGCTACCGGATTCTGTATAGAAAGTAAGCATAATTTCGCCCTCTAAAAATGCATATAGTTGTTATCTGGGTATATTTATCTCAAGTTGGTGACCAACTCAACGTTTGCCTTGTTTGTTCACTCAGCACAACAACGTTTGTGATATCCTCTCCTGGTCAGCCAATGAGAGTCGGCTTTCCCCTCTGGTCACCCTTCGCGGCTACATTCGACCAATCAGTGGTCTTGACTGGTGTCCCAACCAGCCCAACCTGCTGGCTACCTCATCCTTGGAGAACTTCCGCGCTACCTGCATTTGGGATCTTCGCGATACCTCGAGACCCGTAAGGACGACGGAATCCCTCTGTAAGCGAGCGTCGAAAGGCCTTGTCTGGTTTTCACCTCATTCTTATTAACCTTTGTCATAATTATCTTTTAAGAGGTTTTTGATCTTCTTGTTGTTGTTAAGAGCCCAAAAACGGTACTGAGCTTCTTCTTTGCAAGTTTTGAATGTAAAGTTAGTTTCCGACAGTGTTTAGGTAATTTCAGATGAATGAATCTGTACACTCCGCCTCACCGGAGCCCAGGTCTACTTTTTGGGAGGCAAGCAACCGATTCCGCAAACATTTAATTGTGCTCAAAGTGCATTATTCGTTTCAAGCACAATTCATCACTGAGCCCCTTTGGGACAGTGGGGATTCTGTACGGAGGTTTAAAGACATCGTCCAGTGCGCTCAAACTCATTTTAGTCGTTAGAAGGAGCAAAATGGAACAAGACTATTTCATCTCGCCCCGACCAACTTCACATGCCGTTAGTCATGCCTTTTAAGGTCCGTCTCAGGACTTGAGATCGGAGTGCAATCCACGCTAGGATCTACCAGGCTCAGATATCACATTGATGCCCAAATTCCACATTGAGGAGTCATTGTAGCTTGACTCTCAGTTCTAATAAGAACGGAATTATCCCGTTAGTTGGCAATTACCCAAGCCATGACTATTCGCCTGTTGCGGTAGCCTCAAGCGCGATGGATTTATTAATGATAAACAGTGCTACGAGGTTGCCAATAGTGGAGAATATGCGAGTTCCAGGAAGCAGTTCAGAAGAAGAGGATACGATTCCTGGAACATGAGTTCTATTTTCCTGATAGGGTTCCCTATCTGCACATGACTATGGCTATGCTACCATCAACTATGGTTAAGGCTTCCCAACGAAATCCGAAACGTCAGGAAAATAAAACTTTTGTTCTAGTGATTGCATTCTCTTCTTCTGAAGTGCTACGAGGCTCACTGTGAGCCGTGAATCTAATCACACTTGGGTCGATTCACCCGTCCAACCTACTGCTCATATGGGATCCACCATTACGGATACAGTAAGCTGACTACCCAGACAGAATTTCCCAAGCAATTATCTAGAATCCACCAGAATGACTGCTAGGCGCACTAAACTCTTAGGAGGGTTCGGCGGATTTGAATAATTCAGTTGACCCAATTATGTGCGTTGGCTGCGCAGAAGCCTTCTCTGCTGTGTGGGTTTGACTCCCACCGAGGCCGCAGCTTCTTCACAATTGGGTCAACTGAATTATTAAAATCTACCGAGCGCTAGTGTGCTGCGCCATTGATGGATTTTCCCGTCTCAGCGTCATTCGCTCTTCCCTCTCACCTTTACTAAGCGACTGCCGGGGCCTGTCAACCAGCAGGCGACTGGATTGGACGCAATGGTTGACGCGACATGAATACACAGGTCTAGGCATTTTGCCACCCCCCTCCCCCTCCCTGCGTTCGGCAGCAGTTATGGTCTCGCACAGTCTCTGCGTAACC